GCAGTGCTAATGGTGTGTGTGTGTGTGTGTGTGTGTGTGTGTGTGTGTGTGTGTGTGTGTGTGTAAACAGTGTTGGGAAGGTTACTTAGGAAATGTAATCGGTTACAGATTACAAGTTACTCTATTTAAAATGTGATAAGTGGTGTAACTATTTCAATTTGGGAAAGAAATCAATCAAACCTGTATGTGTGTGAAAATATTCATATGTAACCCCATTTGTAATCATTAAAGGAGACATATTATGCCCCTTTTTACAATATGTAATATAAGTCTCTGGTGTCTCCAGAATGTGTCTGTGAAGTTTCATCTCAAAATACTCCACAGATCATTTATTATATCATTTAGAAGGGGCAGTAATATTATAATGAGATCCCTTTGCAACGTCACTAGGGGAGCGAAATCAGACGCGCTCGTTTTTTCAGACGGTTGCAGAAAAAGGCTTCCCAAAACAAAGTTACTGAGTTAATAATCTTTTTCACGTTTCCTTGGTTGGTAGATGCACCGGGGACCTGATTATAGCACTTACAACCTGGAAAAGTCAGATTTTCATGATATTTCACCTTTAACATTTTCATAAGTAACTGTAATTTAATTACACATTTTATTCTCAATAACTGTAACAGATTACAGTTAAATTTATTCTGGGTTACACTTTATTTTAAGGTGTCCTTGTTACAGTGTAATTATATATTTAAGTACTGAGTAATATTAATGTACTTACTATATAGTTAGGGTAAGGGTGAGGGTTTGGTTTAGGGTTACTTGCATGTAATTATGCATAAGCATGTAACATGCAACAAGGACACCTTAAAATTAGTGCTGTCAAGCGATTAATCGCATCCAAAATAAAAGTTTTTGTTTACATAAGATATGCATGTGTGCTGTGTATATTTATTATGTGTATATAAATACATGCATGTATATATTTTAGAAAAATTTTATGTTTATATATTAAATATATTTATTTATAATATAAATTATATGAATATAAATATAAACATGTAAATACATGTAAATATTTTCTAAATATATGCATGCATGAAAATAGCCTTGATGCTGGCATGGCATTAAAAAGTGAAAAAATAAATAAATATGCATGCGTGTGTGTGTATTTACAGTATATATAAATAATAAATATACACAGAACACACACACATATATTATGCAAACAAAAACTTTTATTTTGGATGCGATTAATCGCGATTAATCATTTGACAGCACTATTTAAAATAAAGTGTTACCTTATTTTTTTATAATTCTGTTACATGTAACTGGTTACTCCCCAACATTGTGTGTAACACATCGTTATGCTTTGAGCCGTCAGAGAGTGAACTGGATGTTGTCACAGGAAGAAATTACATTTTAAATTTTAATATTTAGCATTATTACTGCTTTCTTTTTAATTTTAGTTTAAGCAATTTTCCTATGTGATTTTGTTAGTGCTGTTAAACGATTAATCGCATCCAAAATAAAAGTTTTATTTACATAATATATGTGTGTGTGCTGTGTATATTTATGTACATATATGGTATATATTTTAAAAATATTTAGAGGTATCTACATGTATATATTTATATTTATATAATGTATATTATATATGAATATATTTAATATATAAACATAACATACTTTTCTTAAATATATACTATGTATTTAATATATTTATATTTATATAATGTATATTATATATGAATATATTTAATATATAAACATAACATACTTTTCTTAAATATATACATGCATGTATGTATTTATATATACATAATAAATATACACAGTAAACACTCATATATTATGTAAACAAAAACTTGTATTTTGGATGCGATCAATCACGAATAATCGTTTGAGAGCGCTAGTTGTCAATTTTATTTATTTTCATTTCAGATTTAGTTTTTGTTTTTATTTCCAATTGGTAATTTTAGTGCTTATTTCAGTTAGTTGCAAAGTCACTTTTTTTTCTTCTAATTTTAGTTTAGTTTAAGTTTCTTCTGGTGTTTATATTTTATTTTTATTTCAGTTAACAAAGTGTTTTTAGTTGAAGTTTTAATATTAGCTAACAATAATAACCCCGGCTAGATGCCGTATTTAATGTGAGTCTAATGGCTGAGGCATAAGAATTCAGTATGTTTTACCATTGTTTTACATTTCCAGCCAATAAAACATTTAAAATATGTCTTTCCAAAGAACATGTAATCCTTCACAGCTCTGTTAAATTAAACTAAGGGCCATAAACGTTAGCTGTGATAAGGTGTTTGATGTTTTCTTGTGTTCCTAAAAGGCAAGTTTAAGGGGGTACAGATATCTTCTAGCTCAGACATCAGAGGTATTTTTAGAGTGAGGGTTACTGCAGAAGGGGTCCTGAGGTCAGTTTGAAGGATGGATGAAAGTGAGGAAGATGACACGATCCCTTTCGAGTCCCAGTACTCTGTAGCCTTACTAGAATGTAGCCTTGGTGAGCATAAGAGAAAAATACACTGCTGTTTCTGAAAAAAGTCTCTTTTTCACCTTCCAACAAAGAAAGAATTTAGACAATAGTGCATTAGTTGTGTGAGTAAAGCTTAATTAGTGTGTTTGATTGTTCTCATGGTGCTCCAGAGAATAATGTGGTTTCATCGCACAAACCTGCACAACATCATTTTTAGCAAGTTTGATTATTTTTCAACAGTGCATAAAATACAAAAAATCAAAATTCAAGTCATTCACATTTTCAACAGAAAACATCCTCCCGTTGGAAGTTATTGCTTTGTGGTAGCATTAATGTGCACTGAATATGATCTTTTTTTTTTTTTCAGTGCAAGCTTAAAGGCAGTGAAAGCAAGCTTTTGTTTTCTCCTGTCCTCCTCTGCTTTGCTTCTCTTTCACTCCTCTGTTGATCTAGAATTGGACTGTCTGAAGCGAGCCTTCGTCCTCTACCCCCCACCGACGGCTTGTGTGTCTAGTTACTGTTGCTAAGCGGGGGCCGAGGGCCTCTGTGTTTTGCGAACGTAGCGAGAGAGACCCCTCAGCCTTTACACATACACACACACACACACACATACACACTCACACACACACAGACGCATACACGCACACTCACTCACACACAGACACACACAGACACACATATACACACTCACATACACACTCACACACACACAGACGCATACACGCACACTCACTCACACACAGACACACACAGACACACATATACACACTCACATACACACTCACACACACACAGACGCATACACGCACACTCACTCACACACAGACACACACAGACACACATATACACACTCACATACACACTCACACACACACAGACGCATACACGCACACTCACTCACACACAGACACACACAGACACACATATACACACTCACATACACACTCACACACACACACAGACACATACACGCACACTCACTCTCACACACACACACACACACACACAGACAGCAGTTCACCTTTGTACTGAACATTCAGATCAGCAGTGAGCACAGGACAATCTCTGTGTGCCTTTCAGAACTAAGAACAAAAAGGTGATGTTGGAGTCGTAGCCTGTTGATTAGTTTAAGGGCTTTTAAACATTTCAATGGCAAGAGTCCCCAAAAAACTACTTTATATTAGTATAATATGTGACCCTGGACCACAAAACCAGTCATAAGGGTAATTTTTTTTTAATTGACCCTTATGACTGGTTTTGTCGTCTAGGTTTATATCTGAAATCTAAATAAATAATCTTTCCATTGATGTACGGTTTGTTAGGATCGGACAATATTTGAAAATCTAAAAGAAACAGGCTGAACGATTTTTATTAGTTAAAAAATTAATGCTGTCAAATGATTAATCACACGCAAAATAAAAGTTTTTGTTTACATAAATGCACTAAATATCACAAAGAAAAATTTTATTTTGCTACAGCAGGAGAAGGCACTTTTGTATACTGTTTTGTATACAATAAATTATGAGCTTCAGAATGCGCAGACGAAACGCGCTCATGTTATTATTTTCAGAGCCTGCTGTTTGGGAACACAGTTCAGGGCAGTGTTAATTTTGACAGCAAATTTTGATTTAGTTTATAGTTCTTCAACATTAGTTCATAAGCAATTGCTTGGCATAAATGTGCATTTTTGATGCGCATTAAAGAATTTATTTAGTAAAAGTGTTTCAATCGTAGTTTATGCACATGTTTTCTTACCAGATAATTCTTATTTATCCTACTTGGTTGAGTGTATATGTTTTTTTATGTGCATTTTTAGAATTTTGCATCTTGGCGTTTCCATCCAATGTTTTTTTTTTTATGCAATATCCCAAAATGCGCATTAAAAATAGGTGGATGGAAACATAGCTATTGGGATCCAAAACTGTTTGGTTATCAACATTCTACAAAAATATCTTGTTTTGTGTTCCATAAATAAATGCATACAGGTTTGGAATGACATGAGGGTGAATGGGTATCATATTTTTAATTTTTGGGTGAACTATTCCTCTAACTTTAACAGTAAAGCATGGAGATCGCAACGCCAAGATCATGGGTTCGATTTGCAAGGAATGCATAAACTCACATAAACTTGCTTTGGATAAAAGCGTCTGCCAAATGCATAAACGTTAGTGTGGATAAAAAAGAATAAGCACTGTGATCCCTAACATCTCTGTCTCTCTGTCTCTGCAGGTCTACACACAATGAGATGGAGAAGAACAGGTATGTGCATATAGCCTTTGTGGCGTTAGTTCTTATCTGTAAGCCTTCAGTATTATACCTCATTACATCCTTACTGATTAGATTCAGATTAAAATTCCTTGTCTCAGTTATTTTGGAGTCCACTAGCGGCCAGATAATGCTCAGAGATGAGTATTAAGGTTGATGTATCCATTCATCTGTGACCTAGAGATAAACCTGCATTAAATGTGTGACTTGAAATTTCGAACGTGAAAGATCTCGCTAATGAACCAGGCTTAATATCTCCATCACCAGTGCTGTATGGTTTGGGTAGCACGCGCACTGAGCTCAGCTTGCCGAATGCATTAAAGGGGTGGTTCATTGCAATTTCACTTTTTTAACATTAGTTAGTGTGTAATGTTGCTGTTTGAGCATAAACAATATCTGCAAAGTTACGAAGCTGAAAGATCAATGCAAACGGAGATATCGTCTTTTAAGATTCTGGCAGTTTAATGCCTACAAAAATAGCTGGTAGTGACTACAACGAGTTACTTCCCGGGTTCGTGACATCACAAACCCAGATAAACCCCGCCCTCGGGAAAAGGCAACAAAGGGGGCGGGGCCATGCTGCGCTGCTTTAGAGAAGAGGAAGAGAAAACTAGAGGTGCACGTAAAAATCTATTCATATATGAATCACGATTCTGTTTTCTAACGATTCTAATGGATTCACAAGTTTCAAAATAAAGCAGCGGTTCTTAATACTGTTCCTCGCGTCGCCCTGCTCTGCACACGCTCTGCAGCTCTCTCTCAGTCTCTCTCTCTCTCTCATTCACAAATAACAGCGCATCTAAAAGTATGAGACAACAACAAACAAAAAACATAGGCCTACCATTAAAAGCCGTGCTTGCACAGGTTCTGCACGATCCTCTTCAATAATATCCTCTTCTTCTCAATCGGGCTCAAACTGATAAGCGATATTAACGACGCCGATGTTTACAATACAACCAGAGCACATGCCTCCGAGGTGAGGGGCGGGACGAATAGACGCGCACTAGAGGCGGTTTAGCCAATCACAACACACTGGGCTAGCTAACCAATCAGAGCCCATCGCCTATTTCTGAGGGAGGGGCTTCATAAAAGCAGGAAATGATCAGTGTGTTTCTCAGAGAAGGGACAGAGCGGTGTGGAATAAAGGTAAATTATGTGAAAAATAATGCGTTTTTTTTTTTTTAAACGAAGCTTTAACACATGTTAGATTGCACCCCATAAACACAATCAAGCCTAGAAAAAAAACACCCCTTTAAATAATGCATGCTGTCAGGCTCAGCAGTGAGCAAAACCAGGCTGTCTGGACTTTGACTTTTAAACTCCTAACAATGCATTCATTGGTGCTCAGGAAAGTGCGTCTCGGTCTGCGTGCAACTCGTGCAAAGCTCTGAGGTCACAGCGCTCCGGACAACTGATCTGCTATTAATTTCTGAAGAGCGGCTTTCGTCTGCTGTTTAGAAAAATATCCAGGCAAAGAAGGAAAGCGAGGCTCCCCGTGTCTCTGCTTTTGTTTCAGAATGAGTCCAGGGCTGATATTCATAAAGCAATTCGAGTGGGAGTGCATTTGTGATGCAGATTTGAATAAACGGGCAGCATGTCTGATGTGAGACCAGCACAGCTGTGTAGTAATGATTCATGTGGTCGTGAACCTTTTTGGCTCAAAATATACACTACCGTTCAAAAGTTTGGGATCAGAATGATTTTTAATGTTTTACAGGACGTTCTTCTGCTCATCAAGGCTGCATTTATTTGGTCAAAAATACAGGAAAAAATCTTATATTGTGAAATATTATTATGATGTAAAAATAACGTTTTTCTGTTTTAATATACATTAAAATCGAATTTATTTTTAGTATTTTCAGCATCATTACTCCAGTCTTCAGTGTCACATGATCTTCAGAAATCATTCTAATATGCTGATTTATTATCAGTGTTGAAACTTGCTGTTTCATGTTTCTTTGGAAGCTGTGATACTTTTTTCAGGATTCTTTGATGACTAAAAAGTTAAAAACAACAGCATTTATTTAAAATAGAAATCTTTTATACACTACTGTTCAAAAGTCTGCGGTCAGTACATTTTTATTCTTTCTTTTTTTGAAAGAAATTAAAACTTTTATTCAGCGAGGATGTGTTAAATTGATAAGAAGTGACAGCAAAGATTTATATTGTTAGAAAAGAGTTATATTTTGAATAAATGCTGTTCTTTTTAACTTTTTACTCCTCAAAGAATCCTGAAAAAAGTATCAGTTTCCAAAACAATATTGTGCAGCACAACTGTTGATAATTCTAATAATAAATCAGCATATTAGAATGATTTCTGAAGATCATGTGACACTTTATACTGGAGTAATGATGATGGAAATTCAGCTTTGCATCACAGAAATAAATTATATTTTAAAGGATATTAAAATAGGAACCATTATTTTATATTGTAATAACATTTTGCAAGATTACT